TATTTGTAAGTGGTTCAGACTTATTTCATGTTTTTATTTAGCATTTCTTCTTCTATGTGGGCTGAAGTGGAAATGATCATGAGAAAATTTCTGGATAAGGCAGATGGTATTAGGGGGTTTCATTTTGTTAGGTGGGAAATTGTGTCTTAGTTATTTAACGTCAATTGGCTATAAGTATAGGGAATTTGAGGCTTCATAATGAGTTCCTTCTTGCTTAGTGGTTATGATGTTTCCTTTGGAAATTGAAGCTTTGTAGGCATATGATCATTGTGACCAAGTACGATCCTTTTCCTAACGAGTAGGTAACAATTTGTAGGGTCAAGGCTCTTTTAGGAGTCCATTGTAGGGTCAATGCTCTTTTAGAAGTCCATTGTAGGGTCGAGGCTATTTTAGGAGTCCATAGAAGTCTATCGCTTTTGGGTATATGACTTCCTCTAGTTTCTTGAGGTTCTCTGTTGGAGATGGTTTGTCTTTGTTGATTTGTTTGAGGATCTTTGGGTGGGGAAAGCTCAATTTACTGATGTTCCCTCATCTTCACCAATTTTCTTCCTTGAAAATGGTTTATGTGGACTTTTTAAAGGCTTCTTTGGTATAATTTTAGATTTGGGAAACCTTTTGTCAAATGGGGAGTATTCTTATATCTCCTTGTTACTTACTTTCTCTACTTGCCTATCACTCTCCTCGCCAAAAGGTTAGGGATGCTCATTTGTTATCCCTCAATTCACTTGGGGAATTTTTCTCTAACACCCCTTTTCTCTTTTTTTTGGATTTCATGCTCCCTGTTCGCCTCACTTTGGAAGGTGAGAATCCCAAAGAGGGTCAGATTTTTTGCTGGTGGGTCTCGTGTGGGAAGATGACACCATTAACTTTATGCAGAGATTATATTCTTTATTTGGGGGCCTCAATTGTGTAGTGTTGTAAGAGCGCCTGAGAAAATATGGATTATGGAGGATGTTTTGTGTAGATGTTAGCTTGAAGAAATGATTTGAGATAAGTTTCTTGTAAGCATTTGGAGTGCATATAGCAGTAGGATTTATTAGTCTGTGATTGAGGAGGTGCAATTTCACCCTCCTTGTGATAGGGTGTGGCTCTTTGGCAAGCTTTGTACTATGCGGTCTCATGGAACATGGACTTGGGAAAATTTTAAAGTGAAGGCTTTTTTTATGTGGCACACAATAGATGAATGTAGATTATTTTTTTAATATTTAGAGGGGTTAATGAAAAAGCTGAGGAATTAGAGTTTTTTTTTTTTAAAAGATCACTTAGAGAAATAAAGGTTTTTGGAATAAATATTTTTAAAAAAAATAAAGGAAAAAACAGCTAAAAGGTACCAGGGACTGCACGATATTTGAAAGAGCGTGCTCGTTGAGAAGCGGGGTGCCCTAAGTGGGTTTTTTTAGCTTTTCAAATCACTGCTTATTTTTGTTGATTGGAGTCGTTATTGTAATATTTTAGTTTAGATTTTATCTACTGGCTCCTTTTGTCTTTTTTTTTTTTTTTAAATAAATAATATATATTTTTTAATTTTGAAAATTTCCCTTTTGTATTCTTTTATTGAGAAAATGAAAATGGGATTTTTTTCAGAAAAGAAATGGACACTGCAGAAAAATTACCGCCAAGGTAATATTGGCTCTTAAGCTTCTGTGTGCTTTGTTTAAAAGCAGATCTGCTGGATCACTTATTCTTTCATGGCTCCTGCCGCTTTCAACTTTGGTCCATTTCTCTTCGTTCAAAGCCCTCTTGGGTGTTTGAAGATCCGATAAAAAAACAAGATTCAGCAGTAATGTGGTCTTGGATTCAATAGGAAAGGCCAAGACATTGTGGATTATATGATCAAAAGCCTTCATTCAGGTTTATGGCTAAAATAGAACGGAAGGATATTCAAAGGAAGAAGCACAAGTTGGGGAGAGATCTTAAATTTAGCTAAATTTCATGCCTCTAGGATGTGCACACTGTCCAATTCCTTTTGTAATTATAGTATCTTTGTAATTATTAGAATTGAAGAGGGTTTTTTTTATTTTTTATTTTTAATTTTTTAAAAACTTCTATAGGGTATATATCAATGAAAAATGTTTTTTTAAGGGAAAAAATGATTATGCACTAATATGTTTACCAGTCAGTTTGATGAAGGGGATAAATGTCTGATGAGGTCAATCTATCTATCATAGGTAAGCTAAGTAGCATCGCAGCTTGTGATTGTTTCTGGCTGGTTTCTCTTGACATTTTCACGTTGTTAATATGGGTTCAGTTCAGGCAATTATTTTTCGAAGTTTGATTTGAAAAAAAAATTATCCCGCATGAATGCTTGAATAGTAGAATTCAACAAATTGCATTTTTGACTGAAGAAAATATGGTCGCTTGTTCAGAAATATAGTGTTTCCATGCAAACAAGTGAAGCTTTACTAACTCAAAACGATAAGCTAAAGATCCTGATAACTGGTTATGTTTGTCTTTTCAATAATAGTTAGTCCTGCTGATGTTGTACTATTTGTGATATGTAGGTGACATACACGGGCAATATTCTGATCTATTAAGGCTTTTTGAATATGGCGGGTTACCTCCTCATGCTAACTACTTATTCTTGGGGGATTATGTTGATCGAGGCAAGCAAAGTTTAGAGACCATATGTCTTCTCCTGGCATATAAAATAAAATATCCAGAGAATTTTTTCATATTGAGAGGGAACCACGAATGTGCTTCTATAAACCGAATATATGGTTTTTATGATGAGTGTAAAAGAAGGTTTAACGTTAGGCTATGGAAGACGTTTACGGAGTGCTTTAATTGCCTGCCTGTGGCAGCTCTGATCGATGAAAAAATTCTATGCATGCATGGAGGTTTGTCTCCTGACCTGCATAATTTGGATCAAATTAGAAAAATGCCAAGGCCAACAGATGTACCGGACACTGGTTTGCTCTGTGATCTTCTCTGGTCTGATCCCAGTAAAGATGTTCAAGGTTGGGGAATGAATGACAGGGGTGTTTCATTTACTTTTGGTGCCGACAAAGTGACAGAGTTTCTTCAGAAGCATGATTTGGATCTCATCTGCCGTGCTCATCAGGTTTTTCATGTTTCATTTTTTGAACGTTTAAAAAATCATGAAGAATCATTCTTCTTCCTTGATGCAAACTACCCTTGTAGAACGAGGGAAATCTTAGTCAAACAACTTTAATGTGATTTATGTAGTGGTGGAAACTATGGAAACTACTCCTTTTCTCATTCCACACTAATTTATAGCAAAGTTGAAGTCTTATAAATTCTCTACTGGTTGGTGATTGCAATATAATCCTTCCATACTGTTTTTTTGCACCGAGAATGGAGGATGTGGGTTTTCATAACCTTTCAATCTTCCAATCTTTTAACTAATCATTTGTTTTATAGGTTGTGGAGGATGGATATGAGTTCTTCGCAAATCGTCAACTTGTAACTATTTTTTCAGCGCCTAATTACTGTGGGGAATTTGATAATGCTGGTGCCATGATGAGTGTGGACGAGACGCTTATGTGTTCATTTCAAATACTAAAGCCTGCAGATAAGAGGCCTAAGTTGAACTTTGGAAGCACTACCACCACCAAGCCTGGAAACCCTCCGGCAGGGGTTAAGGTAAACAGAACATTTAAAGAAAAAGATTTATATTATTACTAGCAAAGCACTTGAGAAGAATTTATCTGCATGAAGCTTCTCCCTGTTGGGCCGTTGCCCATAGTCCACAGATTTTACCATATGTAGGATAGTATCCATTATTCTAACGTCCATGTTTTCAAGTGGTATGGTTGCTTCTAATTGCATTAGTAATTATAGTTATTGTGTTTCTGGATATACATTTGTTGGGAGCATTGGTTACTAAAGAGGAGAAAACCACTATTCTGGCTGTTTTTAGTTGTGGTTTACTCTCTATACTTAAAAATAATATATAGGTCTATGAATACATGGTTATTATTAAGGCCCGATTATAACAATTTTGTTTTTTGTCCACTGTTTTTTAAAATTAAGCTTAGAAACATTACTTGTTTTGTTATATAACTTTTATAAACATTTTCAATTGCTAGGGCATTCTTTATTTTTTTTAATTTTATTATTATTATATTTTTAAGAAATGAGTATTTAATTGATGATATGAAATATACAAAAGGCCACGAAGGCAAGTTACTGGAATGCACTCCAATTAGAGGCCAAGTTGTTTAGAGTGTAACTATTTAAGCGAGAGTAGAAGCATTTACACCTGTCTAGAGCTAACAGAATAACTCTGTCAAAAAAGACCACAGAAGGGAGAGAAGCATCGAAGATCTTATTATTCATTTCTAGCTACAAACTCCAAAGAAAGGACCTGATAAATTGGACCTAAGGATAGCTTACTAATAATGTTTGTTTTCAAAAATTTATTTTGTTTTTGAAATCTAGCTCAGAATTTAAATATGTTTTCAAGAGGTAAAAACTTACTAATAGAATTTAGAATTGTACAAAAGTAAGCATAATTTCTAAAAACAGAAAACTAAAAACGAAATGATTATCAATTGAGACAAGTCATTGAACAAGAACCAAAAGAAGCCTAAAGGACGAGGGCTAAGACAGGCCCCCTCCTCAAAAGAAAAAAAAGAACTAATGTGAATGACTCTCCAATCTTGCCTAATCATAGAGGCTGTAATTACAATTTTATTTTATTTTTTGTTTCTAATGACATTTTGCCTTGTCTCTCAAATGCCAACCAAAGAAACATTCAAGCATCCAATCTTCAACATGTCTGGGCAAGCAAACCGAAAACCAAAAAAGTCGAACAAGATTTGCCATCCCTTTGCAGCCAACGGGCAATGTAAAAACAAGTGATCTAAAGTCTTAGCCTCCCCCAGGCAGATGCAGGAAGCCGACGGAGAAACTATCCAACCTGGATACCTTTCTTGTAATCTTTCTAGTTCAAGGATCTGTAGGCTATAGACCAAAGAAAAACCTTCACTTTCTTTGGAATCTCATCCTACCAAATAAAAGATATCAAAGGGGACTTCAACTTGGGGTGGAATCTATCTACTTAAGGCCAACTTCGCCGAAAACTGACTAGCAGTCTCTCAAACCACTTTGTCTGCTCCCTCCCAAAAGGTTATGGAATCAAGTCTCTGCACCAGACCACCCAACTATCAAATTCTCTTTCAAAAAGGTCTCTTCTAAAGCTCAAATCCCAAACTTTCTACTCCTCAAGCCAGCAATCTTCAACCGCCCCATTCTGCTTCAGGGAGATAAAAAACAAGTTTGGAAAATCTTGAGCGAGAGTTGACTCTCCAGCCCTTTTGTCATGCCAAAACCTGATTTTGCTTCCCTTTTTAACTTTAAAAAACATAAAATTATGGAAAAGAGAGTTGTGCTTAGCGATATCAAACCAAGGTTTCCGTCTAGCTTTCCTATTTGGGAGTTTCCGGCAACCAGCCCATAGGCTCCACCCCATATATTCTTTTTTTAGATAAGAAACTTGTATATTCCAAGAGGAAGACAAAAGGAACAAAAGGGCTGGGGTAGAGGAAATCCCACCCAAAAGAACTAAACAATCGCTTTCCAATTGTACACAAGCATGGAAAGGTCGTAGTTACAAAAGAATTTACTATAGCTGATGCACCACCAGGAGGCAGTGTGCTGTACATTTCTACAAAAAATCTCAAAAGAAGAAGACTTATCTTCGAAGACCCGTAGGTTTCTTTCCAACCAAAGGTGCCATAAGAGAGCTCTCGAAGCACACATCCACAAAAACATAGCTTTTTTTAGGAAGAGTCCAGCCATGCAGGGCCTCGGCCAACCAAATATCTATACGATTAGGGAAACAAAAAGACAACCCGAAGAGATCCATGATAAATAGCCACCCTCGAGCCGCGAACGTACAATGAATGAAGATAGGATCAATTGATTCAGTGTTGGCCATACATAAACTACAAACAGAGGGGGAGAGCACCCTATTCCTGCCCTTCTTTTGAAGCTTCTCATGGGTGTTCAAGCTTCTATGTGCTAAGGACCACAGGAACACCTTGACCTTTCTTAGAGAGGCAAACTTCCAAATAGCTTGAAGCGCTAAAGCGACCTTGACTGCATATCCAAAAAATCATTTAAAATATTTTTCTAAAAAAATCACCGGATTTTTTCACCTGCTTTCAACCAAGCGCTCGCCTCGCCTTATGGCGATGCTCACGCCAAGGCTCTCGCGGCACCGTTGAAGGCGTAAAAGACCCAAAATGCCTGGCCCCTTGCCATAGGCGAGCGCTTGGGCTTGCCTTGAAATCACTAGTCTGTTTATATTAATGCCTTTTAATGGTGCCCTCCATATATTCAAGCTATAACTCTTCTCCGAAGGGCTTTTTCTTCTCGAGTAAACCGCCAAAGCGATTTAAGCAGCAGTGCATTATTCCTTTGACGAAAGGCTCCAATGCCCAAGCCACCCAATTTGACAGGAAGGGGGCGTGTTTGCCCAATTAACCTCATCCCTTTTTTTTTTCTCAATTTTGGATGAAACACTTCATATAAAAAAAACAAAAGAATAGCTTAGGACAAGGGACAAGACGTCCCCTCCCGAAACGAAAACTAAAACAGGAGCTCTCTAGTCTTGCAAAATCACAGAGGCTGTATTACAAAAAAAATTTATGTTCCTATGGCACCATCAAGAGGCATTAATATAAACAGACTAATGATTTCAAGGCAAGCCCAGACACTCGCCTATGGCAAGGGGCCAGGCGTTTTAGGCCTTTTGCGCCTTCAATGGTGCCTGCGAGCGCCTTGGCGTGAGCATCGCCATAAGGCGAGGCGAGCGCTTGGTTGAAAGCAGGTGAAAACATCCGGTGCTTTTTTTAGAAAAATATTTTAAATGATTTTTTGGATATGCAGTCAAGGTCGTAGAAGAGCATTTAGTTGTTGATGCTGCTTTTGTTAACGGTTTTGAAAGTTCTAGTGTGGTCTCCTTGATTCTTAAAGGCTTTTATGGCTGAAGATGAAGATTTTATGCCAAGTTTCCTAAATTTTTATGTAGTTGGTCATTTGCAAGAAGAAGACTAGTTCTGAAAATAGCACTTATGAATTTGTCATTGTTCTTTCTACTTCTTTTGTTTTGTTTCTTTTTCTCTCCCTTTGGGAGATTGTATCCTTTGTGTAGAGACTAAGGTTGTGTAGGACACAGAGTATGATAAGGTATTCCACCCTTAAGAACTGACGAAGGCATGCGATTAATCAAGAAGCAAGACGTCGAAACAGCATCAGCCCAAAAGTATTTTGGAACATGCATTTGAAACATTAAGGCTCTTGCTGTTTCGAGAAGATGTCTATTTTTCCTTTCTGCAACTCCATTTTGTGACGGAGTATCAACACACGAGGATTGATGAATAATACCATGTTCACTTAAATAGGAGCCAAGAGCACCAGAAAAATATTCCTTAGCATTATCACTCCGTAGAACTTTAAGAGAGCCTCCAAATTGAGTTCGAATTTCAGCATGAAAGTTACGAAAATGAGAAAGTAACTCAAAACGATGTTTCATCAAATATAACCAAGTTACACGAGAGAAATCATCAACAAAAGTACAAAATACCGAAATCCATTTTTGGACTCAATAGGCAAGGACCCCAAACATCAGAATGGACTAATTCAAAAAGAGCATTAGCTCGTGTATTGACTCTAGGATAGGAACTGAGACGATGAAGCTTAGCAAATTGACATGACTCACAATCTAAAGAATGCAAACTGTGAAATTGAGGACGAAGACTCTTTAATACGGAGAGAGATGGATGACCCAAACGACAATGTTCTTCGAAAGGAGTTGGCACTCGAGTGCAAACGGTGGCGGTAGGTATTTGTGTATCAAACGTGTAGAGACCATTAGATTCACGCCCTTTACCAATAGTCTTCTTCGTTGTAAGATCCTGAAATAAGCAATAACCAGGAAAGAATAAGACACAACAATTGAGATCACGAGTAAGTTTACTGAYAGAGATCAAATTAAAAGAAAATTGTGGCAAATTTAAAACAGAGGTCAATGAAAGAGTTTTGGAGAGATGAACTGTGCCAGAGCCAAGAACAGGAGAAGTGGTGCCATCCGCTATTGTAACATCAGGTAAAGATGTAGATGGTGAAAAGGTAGCAAATAAATTGGGGTTACCTGACATATGATTCGTAGCACCAGAGTCAATGACCCATTTTGACGCGGAGGAAATAAGACATTTATTGGTATTACCTGAATCAACAATGATAGTGATTGGATTAGAGGATGATGCCATCAATGACTCTTGATACTGTTGGAATTTAGCAAACTCTTCCGCAGAAATCGTTGCCATTAATTTCTTTTTAATCATAACTTCAACAATATGGACACAAACAAAAACTGCACTGAAACAAACCAAACCAAATCTGAAGGAGGACAGGGAATCGAACCAAACCAATTGAACAGAGCCAAGTGAACCAAACCAATTGAACTGAAACAAACGAACTAGACCAGAACCGGTATAAATCAACCAAACCGAATCGGAATGTGACGAACCAGACCGAACCAAACTTGAACTGGATGAACCAAACCGGTTGAACTGGACCACTTGAACCGGATCATGTGTTTTCTAAAACCAGAAACCCTAAGTGCTACCCCACGACAACCAGAGGGGYGAAGGCRATTGGCGRTGACGGAAGCRCACGGCRACTGGCRGCGACGAAGGTGCGAAGAACGACGAGACGAAACCCACGAATAGCAATTGAAAAACAGCAGCGTTGGGCGAATCAGCAAACGACGGCGGCAGCGGTCGGCGGTGGTCGGCGGCGGCGGCGGTGGCGGTCGTAGTGTTGGATAGCAATAAACAAAACCCTAATGGGCACAAAAATTTTAGAAGAAACCTAGAGCTCTGGTACCATGTAGAGACTAAGGTTGGAGAGAATCCAATCTTATGTATTCTCATTATTAAAGTCTATATATATAGACAATTATACAAGGTTGACCTAATCCTATAAGGAGAAGGTAAAGGACAAATTAATATTAATCAAGAATATAAAATATATTAAAATATACTCTAACACTTTGAACAATTTTGTTCCTTTTCATTAATCAATGAGAAGTTCGTATCTTGTTAAAAAAATTTTTTGAACTTAAAAAGGCCCACGAATAACTTACCTGAGATGAAAAAATCCTAAAATTTAGCCCACTCATTGTGTGACTATGAAACCATCACACCTTCCTTCTCCTTCTTCATAGAAAGTCGAAAGATTTATCTCACCCATGAACATGTGTTCATGGCGACATTAGGTGCTCAGAAAAGAAGAATGAAGATGAAGAAGAAGAATCGAAAATGTAGTAGAAGAAGAATTAAAAAAGAGAATAAAAGACTTTGCGTATCAGTTTGCTCGAGTCTTTTCCTAATTCTCTCTTACATGCTCGAGTCTTTTTCCAATTATCTTCTACATTTTCAAGCCGCACTAAGTGCATGCAATTGCCTTGCCATTTGGTAGCAAAAGGTACCAGATGGCAGTAAACCTTTTTATTTAAGTTAATTTATGGTTTAAATTTTATTTAATTTGAGTATTCTATTTAACCACTATTTTTACTGATTTTATTTTAAAATTTATATTTTAATTTTTTCTTAATTATTTAAGTTAAAATTTGTTTGCACATTATATAGTTTTACAAATATTTTCATCTAGAGTATTTTTTTATACATAAAATTGCCATAGATAATATTTACTTATTATTTAATTAAGTGTGCCTCACTCGCAACTCCTTTTTGTCGCCTCTTGCCTTAAGACGATAAGATAAGGAGGTTTTTCGTGTTTGGGTGCACCTTGAGCTTTTAAAACACTAAAAGAGACTTAAAAGATTAGCCTTGTCCTCGAAAGTCCGAAGATTTATTTCTAGCCATAAATTCCACAAGAGAGCTTTAAAAGCACAGTCCAAAGCACTTCAACATTTTCTTTAAAGAACCACCTGTGGCAACACTCGGTCATCCAATCTTCAATGCGTCTAGGCAAACAAACAGAAAAATCAAACACCTTAAACAAGAACTGCCACCCCTTTACAGCAAAAGGACAATGAGTAAACAAATGGTCTATATTTTCAGCCTCACCCAAACAAAGACTACAAACAGAAGGGGAACGATTCCAATCGGGGCATCTAACTTGCAGTCTCTCATGCGTGTTCAAAGACTTGAGGGCTACAAATCAAAGAAAAATTGACTTTCACAGGAATATCATTCTTCCAAATTCCATTTATCAATTGGTAAGTAAATATCAAATGGAACCTACATCAAGCCTCATATCTCCTTTTTTTTTCTTTTTTGAGTTCACTATTCCTCATCTACTTATCTCATAGGGCCCAAGATTCATGTTGACTCAATGATGGAAGCTTTGGGATACTTATTAATTCATTTTCTCAAATATATAATCTTCTTTGTTACAAAATGTTCTTCTAAATAGTTACCTTAGTGATGACATAAGTAGTTACTAGTTAGTTTGTGTAGATTTCAGTTCTCCGTCAACTAAATTTTCCCCATTAGCTAATTTGTAGTTAGGTTGAGTCAGGACGAGTGTTTCGTATCAGGTTCTATGAAGCATGAGCATTATACACAACATCACATGCATCTGGCTTCATTCCATTTTGTTTAAAAGAAAAATTTATTGGAACATGGACAAATTTGAAAAGCTGTAAAATTTTCAGAATCAGAATTTCGATTGAAGTAAAATTTTCTGCTAAGCTATCAAATTCTTTGCTAGGAAGACACCTAAATACCTCCGTCTTATTTCCTTGCTGTGCACACCTGGAATGGGATCCTGTTCTCTCTTTTCCACTCTAGCTCTGTTAGGAATCTAGGAAGTAAGGTTATTGCCAAATACCAAAAGGGTACTCATGTTCTCTCTTTTCTTGTTTACAAAGCTTCAATCTCTTAATCGTTTCATTTTTATCCAATTGGAGAAGTTTTATGTAACTCCCATGGATTGGGATCTCCCCCAACTTTTGTAATTTCATGCCATCAATTAAGTCGTTCCTTATTAAAAAAAAAAATCCTTTAGTTTTACATGTTTATCGGGTCGGATTTCTATTTGTTTATTTTTGCAACTCTTTTGATATAAATATTTGTAACTACCTGGCCAGCTGGGTGACCATGTTGCATTTCGAAAAAAGTAAAGAGAACCTTAGAGAAATGGGTCCAAACACCTACCTAAGAGGCTAAGATATTAAAATCTTATGACTTTCTGAACAACCGAGTATTGAAGGGTTTGGCAGTTGCCAAATGAAAAAGGATATCAGAGTATTATAGTAGTATCTTTGGCATCTTGATGTAATAAAAACAATGCATGAAGCTGCTACTTGCTACTGATGGCATTTTGACTTGGTGTTTTCTTTTGGTGATGGTATTTTGCAGTCTTTCCTTGGCGCAAAAGCATGATTTGGTCAGGCACTTAAAAAGGAGGTCTCTTGCAGCCAGTTGAGCCTACAAGACTTGGAAGTTTAACTTCTGGAGGAAGCTATAGGATCGATCATTTGATTTTAAACTTAAATGTTGAAAATTGTAAAAAATAATCGTAAGGTGAAATTCAAAATGATTACAAATATTGTTTTCCTCGATACGAATTTGAGTTTCGAAGATGGTAGCCTGCAAAAACCTGCACTTCTTCCTTGTACACTAATTTGGCAGCACCTATCGGTGCTACGAGTTTACTGTATGTGTTGCACATTTAACCATGCGTCTCGTCTTTCTTTCGTTTTCTTTTTCTGGTTCATCAAGATGTTCATGTCATCCATCCTTGGGCAGAAAAAAGAATCTCTTTTTTTGTTTTTGTTTTATAGTTCCCCACGTATTGATTTGTTGTTCTATTTCTATGGGAAGCCATGTCTTGATGATGTTTGAGGAAAAGCAAGCTTAATTATTAATGTGAGGCAATTTTGACCTTAAATTTTTTATTTCATCAAAGTCGATGTTATTTTGTGACCGTTGGTTATTATAGTTATTTTGGATATTATTTTAGTTTAGTTTGAACATTTTATTACATTTTATTTTATTTTTATTATCTGCTCGAGTTTATTGCAAGATTGGGATATTTTTGTAGTTGAGTTTGAACATCTTTATGATATTATGTCGAGTGAATTGTTGATTAGCTTTTTGTATGATTTATTAGTTGGATTTATTAGTTGGTTTGTGGGTAACTTTTTAATTTCATTTTGGATAAGGTATTTATTAATTACACCACCTATTCAATCTTAAAGTTGACTAATTAAATTAGGTTGCGTATAAAAAAATTCATATATTGTAATTAGGCCCTCAAGGGTAGTTCGGTTAGCAAGAGTTTAGAATCTTTTGATTATATTGATTTAGAGGTTTTAGGTTCAAATATTCTCGTGTTATAACAAAAATTCTTGATGTCTTTCGGATCCAGATCTAGGGTATTGTCGCAACGTGGTCGCGGAGCGGTCGACGATTTCTTTTATAGGTTCTTAAAGAGAGAATTTGGAGTCGCCATCAATTATATTAAAAGTGTGATTGGTCACATAATAGGAAGAGATTAAAGAAAATTATTGTGTAAATTAGATCGAGTTCAAGAGTCATTTGTGTATAAGGAAGGTGTTAGTATTCTACAACTATAAAAATGATTATCAATCTTTTATTTTTATTATCCAATTTATATTGAAATTTTAGGAAAGAATATACTTGATTTTCTATTTTTATTTTTCTTAAACATATGGAATTTCATTGGATGTAACAAATATATATATATATAATAATAATTCTAAATTGCATGATTTCAATTCTTATGTAATAATAATTAACTTAGAAAATAAATTAGATCTTTCTCTATCACCCAATAATTAGAAACTAAAATAAAACTAAGATTCAAATGGATAAATATTTCCAAAATGGAGAAGATGCAACTAATATGTGAAATTGTAGGTTACATACATCCAATAAAATATATATTCTACACAATAATAGTGCGAGAAAATTGCATTCCCTCGTATCCCAATTTAAAAGAAAAATGATTAAATCAATTTAAAAGAACAATGATTAAATCAATAAAAAGAAAACAGGAAATAGAATTTTAAACTTTTATGTAGAGATTGAGTCCAAGAGAATTTTGATATTTCCAACACAATGTCTTCTGCATTTGTAAAGGAAAAAAATGGAGATTATACTGGGAGAGACGAGAAAGTGAGATTTTGAAAAGGATCCCCAGAAAAAAAAATGGAGTTTTTCGTAAGAGGTGAGAGATTTTTAACGAGAATGTCATTCCTAAAAAGATGGAGATGAGAAAAAAATGGAAAATGAGGAGAATGAGAAGAGAGATTTAGGTGAGCAAAAAGATTTTAATCTTTCTGAGAAATTTACAGAAACTCCACCTTCTCTAATATGCGACAACTCAAGTGTATGAACCTCTTGAGCCTCTAGCAACTTGAATCCAATCATGTAGTTAGTTCAACCTAAAAGAGAAAGGTCAGATGGATTACCTTCGCATTCGAGTACCTTGAGCAGATAGAATACTCACTATACTCGAGACCGGAAACAATCAACGAATTTGGTGACCAATCAAACAAGCATTCTCCAAGGGGTAAATAAAGTACCATAAGTTCAACCACACAAGGAATACGATATTTGGGAGAATTTGCATGAAGGCAAGGGGTAGAAAAACCTCTCAATTTTATTCAATTCATCCAAGTTTGTTCTAAATAACGAGGGGAGGGGGGCGCCTATTTATAGGCTAAAGCTCAAGGCATTTTACAAGAATTTTGTAAAATAAAAATAAACCTAAAATCTAAGGTAAATAAAATAAAACAAAATAATTGCAAGATATTCTAAAAGGGCCCACTTACTAACGGCAAACTATTCGTTAAATCTAATTTTGATAAAAACAAAATAAACTAAGGAAAATAAAAATCATGATCTTTCCTAAAATTCACCGACTTGCTAATCAAGCAATGAAAAGTATTCCTGAATTCTAAAATAATTTAAAACAAAATAAAACTAAGGAAAATTAAAAGGGAATTTATCCCTTAAAAAGGAGTGGTCGGTAAAGCATTGCGGCAACAAGGGTTGGACGTGCGTGGACATGGATGGCATGGGCATGGGTGCGCGCGGGGGCAGCAGGTGGGCAGCATGAGCACTGGGGGCGTACAGGCGTGCGACATAGGGGTGGAGCATGGGCGGTAAGCGGAAGATGGCTGGCGGGGCATGCGAGCATGGGGTGCGCAAGCGCAGGCGCTGGGTGAAGAAGGAGATGCGCATGGGCATGTGCAGTTGGGTGATGCACGTGGCTGGATGCATGGAGGGCGTCAGCATGCTTGCAAGAGGTGTTGATCATGCTGGTGGGTGCACGTAGGACGATCTCTTAGGAGGTTAGCACGGTGGTGACGACCTATGTGTGCACGTTGGGGACCTTCAGCGTACGATGTGTTGTCCTGGTGCCATGACTTGGTTCAAAAAAATTGTTGCAAAATATGATCGTATCATCTCCTCCTTGAAAAGAATTCATCATCGAATCAAATTGTAACCTACACATAAAGGAACCAAGTTAATATCTTCATTATCAAGATTTTCCTTATACTTGGCTTGTAGAGAAATCTTGAAATATTGAGATGATGATGCTCTTCTTGGTCTTTTTCGGATTGTTTTGGGAAAAGTTCTTCGCTCATTCCAAGAGTGTCTCCAAATCCAACCATTCGACTTGTTGACTATGTGCTTGGATTTACTTGTCCTCCATTTGGTGTTTATTACTTGGACTCTACTACACAACACCTTGTGCTCTCGACCATAGTATGGTTTAGAGGACATCTTGGACAATTTTAGTGCACAATTTCCTTCTTCTTAGACTTCTCTTGTCCATGGTTTCCTATATAGAAAAGTATCCTAATTAGTAATATAAACAAACGTAACCTATCATACTATACTTACCGTGAATTGCTATTTTGTAGTCATCATCATGCATTGTTGCTAGCACTGTGAAAGAAATTCTTCTATTTGGATCAAACTCAAGTAGATTTCTTCAGCATTTATTTGTTAGGAATCTCCTTTCTTTTAGGATCGATTTAAAATTTTCAAACTTGGATGTTGGTAATTGGTCCATAATTTCCTCCATTTGGTTCAATCTCATCATTTGGAATTCTTCTTTATACAAGTCCTGAAAATCAACACAAAAAGAATTCAAGTTAGTAACTACTTTAAGATTTAAGGCATACTTACCTTGTAAGACGATCTTAAAGTCTTGAGTTGATGGTAGGATGAGTCTTTTAAGCTCCATATTGCCATGAGTCTCCATAAATTTTTAACTCCAATTGTGCTCGATCATGATTGATGTGAAGAGTTAAATTTTCCTCCAAAAATCTCAGAAAGGTACAAATTCTAGGATAAAGTATGTTAGTTTGAAAGCAAGGATCTTTATTAATACTCCTATGAGATTTGACTTGTAAGACCAAATATGTTGGATCTCACTCTTTTTCTTTTCTTCCTCCTTTGCATACTCTTTTCTCAACTCTTCTTCTTTTTTCCTTCATTTGCCTTGGCTCACATGTATCTACAAATGTTTCTTCATGTATTAATGGTACAAGAATAGATATCTCACAATGAAAAGAAACTTTGTTATCTAAAAGACTAGGGATGTACTTATGCATAGAATCAACAAGTATCTCACTTTCTACTTTACTACTCTCATTCTCATCAATATCATGCAATGCTTTGTTACCAATTGGAATAGAAATTTCATGCATGTTTCCACAAAGCATTGCTTCTTTGATCTCACCACTTTCTCTCTCAACAATAGGTAAGAAGTCATGCAACAACTTGTAATCCATAGGGATAGGAATTGCATTTATGGATTCACAAGGTATTTCATTTTCAATCACATTGCTTACTTCTCCAACAATGGGCATACAATCATGGAATACTTTGCAATCTAATGGAATGAGATCAACATGCATAGCATCACAAAGTATTTTATTTTCTATTTTAATACTTTCTTCCTTAACAATAGAGATAACGTCATACAATACTTTTCTACCACTAGTAGTAGGTATCACATACATAGTTCCACAAATCCTTATTTTCTACTATTAGGACTAAAGTAGGTAGACTAACCTTTCATAAAGTCGGAATTTCATGAGTAATGGGTTTAAGATTAGTATCTAAAAAAAAAGGTTTAGGATTAGCATACCTTGAGGATTCTCTTTGATGCACTTTCTCAATTCTCTTGGCAAGGTGCAACATTTCGTCCAACCTAGTACAAGGTTGAATTTCTTCTCTTTCTGCGATCACCTTGGCAATCTCTTCACTAAGTCCATTGTAGAATCGATTATGAAGAGATTGAATCCCCAGCAGAAGCGCGTGAACGCGTTGCTCGAATTTATCGATTGAATTAAATCACATAGAGAACTAAAAGTAGAGGAATGGTTACTTTTGAAGAACTTTTCTTCATAGTAGACCAATCGAACACCAACACCACGACAAGGACTTCCTCGCTATCATCTGGACAAGAACCAATTTGTGGGAATCCTTTGAAAGATGGAATTTTGTAGAGATTGTGAGAGAGGGAGAGAGTTTTTACAAAATGCATCAATCATTCCATAATGCAAACTCTTTGCATTTAAAGAAGGGTGAGGAGTGAGKAGTGAGGAGCAAGTTAACTCCCCACCTCGTCATAATCCCACTTGCTTGTATCATGCAAGGAAATGTGTTATTTAGTTAATTGAAACTAATTTAATTAAACTAAATAATAAACATAATTTAACTAATTAATTATGTTTTTGTTTTAATTAAATATCATTTATTTAATTAGAAGTTTATTCAAATGCACAT